CTACTACTACTACTACTACCACCCAGGGGTTAAAGGCTTTAAAGGCTTAGGATTTCAGGGTTTAGGGTTTAGGGGCTTAATGGTTTACGGGCTTAGGGTGTAAGGGTTTAGGGGTTTCAGGGTTTAAGAGGTTAGGGTTGGGGGCTTAGGGTTTAGGGAGCTGGGTTTCCGTTCAATGGTTCAGGGTTCAAGGTTTGAGGGGTCGAGTTGGGTGTTACACGTAGGCCACCGGGGTGCTCACAAGAACTGGCGTCAATCGGGATGTCGCCCAAAAGTAGCAGCACAAGAACTTGAGGCTTTGTGTTCAACTGGAAATTCGGGACTCCTTAGAACAAAAAGGCTAAACCCTAAACCCAAAACCCTAAACCCGAAACCCCTAAACCCGAAACCCCTAAACCCTAACTAAAACAGAAGTTCAGGACCAACCGCCTTGCAAACCTCAAGCCCAAGGCGCAGGCACAGCCCGTACCCAGCACGCTAAATCCCCAGACTCACTAAACTTGCTAAACCCTCAAACCCTATAGGGGCCTTAATTATGTGAATAGGGTTTTGGAGCCCATTATGCTATAAGTATAAGTATAATAAGAAGCCCCCAAAATAGTATTGGTAATTATTGAGACCCCTGCATTACCCCGTACCCTCCTGAACTCTTTGACCCGAGACATCGTGGCAGGCAAACCGCTGGATGATAGACACGAACGCAGGAGCAACAGGGAGCAACGGGGTCCTGCTCCCTTCACGGTTCTGTGTAATAGGGATGCCTGGTAGGCACAATGATTCGCTTATCCTTGTAACTAGAATCAGTAGGATCAATGTCCTCCCGTACACAACTGTTGATGAGAGATCTGAAGTAGTAGCAGTCGCACCTTGTTTTGATGTGGGCTCTTGAGATTTACTGTGCGATGTCATGCATAGGTTTCGGGTTGGAGCTTTGAAACTCGGTGTTGCGTCTGTGTTCAAATGGAGGGCTACTTGAGCTACTTGTGATCGCACGCGCTCTCTGACAAAGCATGTGCACAAAGAGTGCAGAAGCATGCAGACACATCCAAATGACGTTTGTGTGGCGCTGTGAAAAACAATTCGCAATCGCCGGGCTTGCTGTGCTCTGGACGGTGTGAAACCTCCTGATTACGGAGCAGCTCTTTCCGAAGTAAACCCAGCGGGTGCACATCAACAGGTTATGAGCCCAAATACCGCGAGCCCGACGGCCGTGCCACACGTGCAGAGCAACGCTCAGGACACCGTTTTGGTGGCTGGTGGTAGGGAAGCAGCTGTCGAGCAAAATGTGGCAGTGTGGACAATGACTGTGGCAACAGGCCATGAACCAAGCACGCCAGGTTGGCCATTTGCTGACGGTGGTGGGCGGGCGCTTGTTGAGGCGAATGAGTGCGGCGCGAGCTTCGTGGAGTATGATGGCTACGAGAAGGACGGCGGCTTGGATACAGAGGTTGGGAGCGTTCTGCCAGAGGAGAGAAGGAGCCAGCATGAGCCAGCAGCCGGCGTGGCCTCCATCGCCTATCCGGGAAGATGGAACCCTGAGCAGCATGAGCAGCTGAGACGGATGGAGCAGAGGGCGCCGTTGTTGTGTGGTCGTCCGGAGGAAGGCAGCTCAGGTGGCAGCACGTATGAGGCGGCTCAAGACGAAGTTCGAAAGCAGTTGCGCGGCGTGGTTACACAGCGGGAGGCACAAAAAAGGAAGCGCAGGACTTGCGGTACATGCCTAGGCCTGCAGGACCGCCTATGGCTTTGGGTGGTACTTGGCTGGGCAACCGGGGGCTGCGGCATCTCCGGCATCGGGCTTTCAAGCAGGTGTGACTTTGAGTTCGGCATCGGGCTTACCGACAGCGTTGCCGTTACTGTGGCATCGGGCTTACATACGGGATTGCCTTTGACTTTGGCTTCGGGCTTGCAAGCAGGACCCCTGTGGCTTCAGTGGCTGGTGTGGGTACAGGACCTATGCTGACGTTCGGAGCCATGACAGCGCCCAATGCTCTGAGTGGCACAACTTCAGGTGCTACAGATCCGATGGCCCGTCTTGAGGGACTGGAGAATGTCATCAAGGGTGGCACCCGAGGAGCGGAGCAAGACTGCAGAGGAGCCGAAGCTGCCAGAGCTGCCAGAGTGTTCTTCAGTGGGTTTTGGGGAAGCGGAGTCATGTCAAAACCATTATATTGGCATTGAAATGGATTTTGCAGACATCCTTCCAGGTATCCGGAAAGTTCCTCTGGTCATTGACGCCAAGGTGGTCATTGGAGCAGCCGCAATGAGGCGAAATTCAGATTGTACTTATCGTACTTTGCGGACAATAATTCGATCAGCCGCGCCTCGTTGGTTGGCAGCAGATTTGGTGCCACGCTTGGTCTACATCCCAAGCGAAGCAAATCCTGCAGATCGGCCTCCCGGGGTTTCAGGAACAGGCCGGTAATCTGGCCGGCGAGGAAATCTCACGAAAAAAGATGCTTTGTGGCGCAGTTGAATCGTCATCTCAGACACATCATCGAAGCCGCGTGAATTGCCAAGCGTTGGGTGGAATCAAAAGCAATCAATTTCACAATTCCTTCTCCATTTCGCCAGTGACGCTTTCTCAAGGATTCCCTGCATGCAACGAGCCATACCTCTAAGCTGAGAGGTGTGCTTTTCGACGGGCTGCAGGAGAGGCCTTGGTGCCGCTTTATTTGAGTTGGGCTACCACGATCGGCTCCCATCGTGATGTATTTTCTGCAGGCTTAAGGGTGCAAACTTGAATCGCAACTTGACTGTGTTTGCGGCGGCCACTTGCGGGAAACTGAGTCTTGCTTTCTGAAAGGACAGGTGGCAGGATCCCTCCACCACGGCTGCAGGATCATGTGTGCAGGACGGTCTCTAACCAGCAGTGGTGAAACTGGCAACAAGCAAACGCTTGCACTCCAGGAGCCTGGCTGGCTTTGCTTGTACAAATGAGCATGTTCCTGTTTTTTCTTCTGCGCTGCAACTTGCTTTGAGGCCACGTCCGAGGGCCTTTAGGGTTTCGGGGCACCCTCCTTGATGGGGACGTCGCCACACTGTTCTCGGCACCGTGCAATAAGTGCTGCCACATCGCAGGTGATGGCCTTTCATTGGCCATGGCTGGAGGTGGTCCCTGGTAACATGGCAGTCGTGTGAAAGTCTCTGCTTCGTGCCGGCATCCGTTGCTTAGTACCTTCATGAGGGATCATGTCGGGAACCATTTCGGATCTGTGAAGCGGGCTGTCTTGCCAAGTGTGCTTCCAACCTTTGTTAGCTTGCCCCTACTGGCTTGGGGGGGCGGGCCCATGGAGATTCAGGTGATGCCGCTTGCTTGCTGCCGCGCGTGGGGCCATGACGTTTTCGGAGCCCTACGCCGTTTGCGTCTCAACCCTTCTCGGGGTGGAGACAACGCGGGTGCCCGTCCTTTTGCAAGGGGCGACTCTCACTCATTCACTCACTCATTAAGGTTGCGGGTTTAGGATTTATGTGCCTAGATGTTTCAAGATGGGCTGCTCAGCTGGGGCCCGCCAATCAGATCCCAAGCGCCTAAGCCTTCTCCACCCACGCCTTCTGAAAAAAGAAAATAACCCAACAATTCTCGTGGAAACCACCCGAACCCAACACCTTAAACCATAACCCTAACCCCCAAACCCCAAAACCCAAAGCCCAAAACCCTCTTTCAGGAGGAACTCCACCCACGGGGAAAATCTGGCAGTGCCTGTGGCTTGAAGTGTAGGAATGCAAAACCAGGTTAGGCTTTAGGGCCATACAAAAGCCAACGCCCTGAACCCTGAACTCTACGTGGGTACTTCTCTAAGTTAGGTCCCGTTTTATGTCAACAATATAGTACGGCAGCTTCAGAAAAAGGACCCTAAGCGGAACCCGAATAGAGACCTACAGGTTCATGGTTGGTTGTAAGTAGCGTTGTAAGTAGGGTAAATATGTATATCACCCACATTAACGAACATATAAGTCCAATAAAAAACTACCCAGTAACCTCCAAGTAGGGTTCAGGCTTCAGGGCAAAGGCCCTTGGGGGGTTTCGTTTTTGAACCCTAAGCCCCAAAACGGTGCAGGTTTCGGGCGTAGCTTTAAGGCTTCCGCATGCCGAACTTGCGCTTTTGTAGTGTATTATGGTATAACACAGCAATAATGTGTTGTTAGCTATCATAATTAAGGAAGCCGTATTTCTTAATACAGATCCCGAAGATGGTATCTGAAATTAAGCCTTGAGCCGGCCTGAGCTTAAGCCCGACTCGCTGCGGGAGAAACGGAGGTCATGGCATTCAAAAAACCTAAGCCCTACAGACGGAACAGGTTTAGGGTTTAGGGGTTTAGGGTTTCGGGTTTGGGTTTAGGGTTTTTTAGGGCTTAGGGTTTAAGCTCCACGAACCCCAAAACTGGGAGCCCCTTGTTCAAGGAATCATGCGGCCCTTGGTGGTGACCTGGCCACCATGTACATCTCCGGCGGTATGATGGCAACCGTGCGCCTCGCCGAGAAGGTTAAACGTTGAAGGCTAAGGGTTTAGGGTTTAGGGTAAGTTCAGCGACAATTTCATCCCCGATTCATCCCCTAGTCCTGCACCCTAAGCCCTACATCCTAAGCCCTCGCCTTTAACCTGAAACCCGAGACGAGCTCTAAAGCACCTGCACTGTGGAGCTTAAGCCGATCGCAAAGCTTCACAACCCTAAACCCTAAACCCTAAACCCTTAAGCCTTAACCCAAAGCTCCTGAGGATCGAGACAGTCTGGGAAGATTGACATTATGCAGGGGTTGTGTAGTGTTTTTAGGGGGGTACTCTTGGTCTTCCAGTGGTTCCAGTGACTTAGAAGGGTTTTGTTGGGTTTCAGCATGGTGTTATAGTGTTTTGCAAGGTCTTTAGAGAGTCTTCTACGCGATCACTATTGCCAAGGCCATTACACTACTTCCAGGATCATGGCACTTAGCAAGTATCGTCGTAAGTAGCCTAAGGAATTTTGTAAATAAGTACTGGTACAAGTGTAGGCGCCCCAATCACAATCCCACATCCCCTGATCCTTCCCTAAACCTTAAACCCTAAAACCCCAAACCCTAAACCCTAAATCCTAAAGACTAAACCTAAACCCTACACCCTAAACCCTGAACCGCAAGAAGTCTGCCAGCCCCAGCGAGGACCGACAGGACTTTCAGCTACGCCATTCCGTGGAATTTTCAGGCAGAGCTGCGGAGACCTGGAGGGTTGGGGTTGGGGTTTAGGGTTTCGGGTTTAGGGTTTAGGGCTTTGGGTTTAGGGTTTGGGGTCTAGGGTTTCGGGTTTAGGGCTAAGGGTTTAGGGCTCCTTTTTGGTCTGTTTAGGGTTGGGGATGCCGGTAAGGAAAGCATACGACACAGCAGTTTTGCGGGGAGTTTGAGACTGCCCAGGCGGCAAGAAAACTTGTCTCCAAAGGTAAGCCTTATAGATCCTTTACGGTAGCCCTTTTTGTAACCCTTCTAGATTCTCAATGCTTATAGATCCCTCAACGGAGCCCTGGAACCTGGCTTAAAACAGCAACTCACCTGCTTTCTTTTTTTCTGCTGGATCCTTTTATTGCCATAGTAGGGTTATCACTGTAGGTTATGGTGGTTAGAAGCAATCTCTATGCATCCTAAGCATCCTAAACCCTAAACCCT